TGGAAACCAGCCTTTAACAAGTAAAGGCCAGTTTTTTCCTTGTTTTAGTTCCCTTTTGAATGACAGACGCAAATATCACCAGAAATACAATGTTTCGGTAAAGTTTGAATTGATTAGAAAAGTGTCAAATTGAGGAGAGCGGATACACAGGCAAATGTATGGACAACTGATGAAAGGTTCCAATTTGCTTCACTAAAAACCTTCATTTGTCAAGAAAATAGATCGAAGGCCTGTGAATTTTTGAGAATATAGTTTTACAGTGAATACTATCAGATTCCCTGGAACATACACAAAGTCTTTATTTCACGCCATATGTGCATGACTGATCATAGTCACGGTTAAATTCCGAGAAATGATAAAATACTTCTGGAAAGAAAAGTTTGTGATGTATCTTCCATCGACTCTGTTACGAAAAATTGTCTAAGTCAAGTTCTAGAATGATCTAGAACCGGAAGTCATTCAGCCGTGACCAATTTGTATAAGAACATTCCAGAACATTCTAATCCTTATGTCATTACTCAGATTAGAAACTGTGTCAAACTACTTAATTTAGTTCCAAATAGAAGTTTCTAGCACTTTAAGCCTCATGTATATTAGAGCGAGAGGTTCTTCCGTAAGAGAGGTTGGTTCAAATTTGAAGAAGCTTAGTGCTGTAAATTCGTGAAGTTACGTTACGGAAATAAATTAGTTTGTTGCTGTTACCAGTGATCCTGAGTTCTGCCTGGAAACAACCCTGCTCTACAACGATACTCGTAACAGAGCCTAAGATAGAGCTGAATGAAGTCAGTGATCTGCTGTACCCTTCGCCTCAAGAGATTTGAAAAAACTTTGTATTGTTCAGTATCTAATTGATCCTCCAAGTTGTCAAATAATAGACTTTTTTTTATATAACAATGTCTAATTTTGGAGCTGAGGCTGAACGTTCTTGTATTTTTATTGCGATGTGAGGTTGAAAACGTTCTTAAGGTTTATTTATTTATTTACATGGTATACAGTATTTCATTAAATTAATGCGGACGTGACCAGATGACTTTGATGGTGTGGAAGTTATTTCGGAATGAGTTATAAACTGCTGATTACCACAAACAGAGATGTGTGTCATGCAATAAGAAAACCATTGTTAATGTTATACAAAACATGGCCTGTTGGTTAGTTCCTCTGTCAGTAGTAAACAGCTATTTGTTTTGTGCGCGGTCAAGACCAAAACCGAGAACAAAGACATACAACAAAGAACTTTGTCAGGTTTCATAACCATTTCTCTCTATTAAGTATGATACAGATAAGCAAAATAAAAACGTTCTTAATTGACCCTCAGCCTGAGGAATGTTCTTAATACGTTCCTAAAATTTTGGTTTATCTCAGCCTTTTTACAAAGAAGGCTGTTTAAAAAAAAAAAAAAAAAAAANGATACAGATAAGCAAAATAAGGAGTGTTCTTAATACGTTCTTAAAATTTTGGTTTATCTCAGCCTCAACGTTCTTACAAAGAAGGCTCTCATAAAAAAGAGTGTAATTCTTTTTCGTGTGAAATTGCAGCCTTAAAAAAAGTGATAGAAACCCTTTTGCAGTATAAAAACTGTCTTTTCAGTTTCCGTTCTAAATCGTGGTATCATAGTAAAGTGGATGATTTCTTTTTTTTTTTTTCAAGCTAGCTCGTCATAAATGTTTAGCCCTTTGGTTGAGCTTTGCTCGTTGTAGCAATCTTTTATATTTTTATTATATTTTTCAGTTGCACCTGTGATCTCTAAGAATCCTGAAGGCCTCACCATAGTGGAAGGACGAGACGTTATTCTTAGCTGTGTAGTTGAAGGAAACCCGTCACCTAGCGTAATATGGACGATGAATGGACAAGGATTGAACATCACAGCAAATTCACGACTGGCTGCGACTCGCACGAAGAACAACCATAATTTAACAATTACAGATGTTCACCGATCAGACGCAGGTCAATACAGATGTGTGGCCAACAACAGTGTTGACACTTCCACTTCATCTGCTGCCAAAGTAGAAGTATATTGTAAGTATTGAAATATGAAAATCATTTAAAGCCCCTGCAACATCCAAAACAGCGCCAGCAAGTGTGGTTGTTTGAAATAACATTACTGTTTTGATTCATGGCGCAACATACACATAATTGTTGCTATTTCTGACGTCATGTGTGATCTCGAACTCTCTGTGTGCGGATATTTGCTTCTGTTAACCTGACAACAATGGCAGTTATTTTTAGGTGATTGTTTTCTGCTTGAGTGCCACCTTCACATTTCTTAGTCGACTCTTTCGTGTTTACAATTTTGGGATTAACGGAGGTCACGAAAATCGACATGGATTTTTCGCGAGAAAAATATGACGCCATTTACTGTCGTCTATATAACGCGACTGCGTTTATTTTAGGGTCGTGACCTCATTGTTCGGAAGTTCAATAGAACCCCAGTAACTCGAACTTGGATAACTTGAACTCTCCCGCTAACTCGAACCAAGTCCCATTTTCCTTGGATTTGACCCCACTTTTCAGTCATTTCGACTCGGTTAACTCGAACGCGGATAACTCGAACTCCTCGCTAACTCGAACTAAATTTCGTTTCCCTTGATAAAAATTTACCCCGATAACTCGAATTCTGGTTCATGTACCTCACCAGGGATGTCATCCCATTAGCTTTTCGTGCCGTGTAATAGGTAAAAACACTCAAAACTAACACCGCAGCAATTTGATTTTAATTAGTGCAACCGACCGTTTACATATTTGACAGTCACTTCCCGATGTTATGAGTCATACCGGATGCGGTGCTTTTAGCTGTCACTGTATACTAAAGTGCTGAAAAATCAGTAAACTATCAATTATTAACATGGCAAGTTGGATATTCAATCGACCTCGATAACTCGAATCCCCCAACTCGAACTGTTTAGCGTTACCCCTCAGAGTTCGAGTTATCGGAGTTCTACTGTATTTACCCCTGGCTGTCGAGTTACGCTTCAGGGGGTAGGGTAGGGATTGACTACTTTTAACTTCTCGTTCAACCGAACTATGCTTCCAAGATGTGGACGAACTTCTCGTCAAAACTAGTACCTCCAGACAACTTCCTCCTTGTTTTTCATTCTTGTTGCTGTTTGTATCCTATTCGTCCGCTCAAGAAGGTAACAAATATTTCGTATTTGAAAACAAGCGCTTCACGCGTTGATTTTCAATACTGCATCGTGTTTACGTACATTAAGCTGGTTATATCTTTACTTCGATGTAGTTAGGCTTATTTTTTGTCTAAACACATTTTCTGAAAGAAAGTTACCTTGCTAAACGTACATGTAGAACGATAGATAGCTTCAGCTGGTTGCTCAAGGTCGATATTTCGATATTACATATTTTCGTTTTCACGTAACTGGCTTCGAATCAGCACCGCTATAAGATAGAAACTGACAATTCAGAATAAACTTGTTGCTTAAACACGGAGCGATCTTATATAAGGAGGCTAAGGTGTTCAGCCTGCCAATCACAAATCCCAACGGATGATCAACGCTCCCATTTGATTGGCTTATTCACTCAGGTGTAGTTTTAGCTCGTTGCCACAAAATTCCGAAGAGCGACGGTGTAATTTTCCGTTTTATTTTACAAGTAAGCAATGCCTTTTGAACTAAATGAACGATAGCTACAAGAAAAGAATTTACAAAGAAAATTGACTTTTTTAAATTTCAACTTCATGATTTTGTTCCTCCACTTGCGAAAGCCTATCGTATGAATTCGAGCTGTTCGCTCAAATTTATAAGATGCCGTGTCTAGTTCTTTTGGTGCCAGGTGTCTTTGCTCCTTCGAGGATTAACGCGGCTGAGAAATAAGTTTGGAAACTAAAACTCGTAAAAACCCCAGATACAAGCAGACTGCGAAGGTAATATATTATATCTACGGTAATAGGGTTATTCTTCTGCCAGGTATCTGAAAGAGATTCCACAAGGTGAACATCGGCTGCCGTTGTACCGTCTTGCTGTTAAAATTAAGTCGGCCTTTTACAAACGCAAATTTTGTTCTTATTACATTCAGCCATGAGTCTTCCCTTCCTTTTTCTAACATCAATATTCAGGCGAAATTTCACTTTGCCATTTTTTTAAGTTCTCTTGTTTCTTCGTAGTACCTTTAGTTTCCAATTTCTTTACTCTGAATATAAAATAGTTTGAGGAATAACTCAAAGTCGTTCAATTTGCATTTTGCAGTTTGAATGCACCATCATAACGCTCATAAATCTGAATGAGTTTAAATATCCCACCAAAATCCGGCCGTCTGTGTTCATAAGCTAACCAACATCACCTCTTATGAGATTTGTCTTCGTTCTCGGCATGCTGAGATAAATGGAAACCGGTAGCTCATTGATCGCAGGTATTTTGTTTGAATGCACCATCATAACGCTCAAAAAATCTGAATGAGTTTAAATATCCCACCAAAATCCGTCTGAGTTCACAGGCTAACCAACATCACCTCTTACGAGATTTGTCTTCGTTCTCGGCATGCTGAGATAAATGGAAACCGATAGCTCATTGATCGCAGGCAGCAGCTTTGTTAATTTAGTTAGCGGCAAAATTTGAATGTTCCGTGAAGTGACGAAGATAATTCATCGTTTCTGTTCTTCCAAAGGCATCTTCTAAGGTGTTAATATAAGTTTTATTTTCACTGTATTTTTATTATTTATCTTATTTTATTCTACGTAAATGACTCCGTTGTTTTAACGAAAAAAAACGCTATAATCTTCACGACTTCTTCTGTTGTGCGACCGCTATTTCGCTTTCTACTATTACACAAAAAGCCAACAAAATGCTTCAAAGGTGGCGTGTCCTTGCCTTTTATAGGATCGCTTCGTGTTTAAGGTGATTCCTGAGAATTGCATTGCGCATCGCTACTGCGCATGATTTTCGCGTCATTAGCGCGCGCTCACGAGCGCGTGCACATACACATTTTTCTAAACGGCTTGGCTTGCGAGAGACAAATCATCGTTTTTTTCCTCGGAAACGGGTATCAGGGCCTAAAGATTTTTTTCTATTTGGTTTGAATGTAGAGATCACCTTCTATCTGTACAGTGAATGTGGACCAATTTCTGTTGCAGAGTAAAAAATTATCACGGAAAATGAAAGCATAGCCAGCACTCGTAAAAGATAATATGTGGCCCCAGAACACTGCGTGCTTGGAACATATTGTATCCCTGTCGACTAAATATGAATGCCCTTATCATTAAGCGTACATCAAATTGCTCCTTAACATTTTATGCAATACATCCATTGTTGTATTTCTAGCTTAACTTTCTCTCTATTTTTCTGCTCTTTTAAAGCGTAAGGTGAATAGTTCAAATATAAACGTTTCTGAAAACAGATAATTTCAGGAATTATGGGGTTTATTGAAGGCCTTGCCGCTCCCAAACGAATATGGGGACTTCCCCTTTTTTATTTCAAATTTTAAGCTCTCTTGATATATTAAAAGCAGCCAATAGGTTAAGTTTGAAAGAAAATCTATTGTGAGTTATATTTCGATGGAATTACCTTACTGCCCCTTTCAGTAACATACGGACTCTAAAATTCAAAGCTCAACCGACAAATGCTTTTTTCGCTACCGTCAATCAAATGTTCGGCGGCTCCTCCCAGCTTCTGACTACTGCCGAGCGCGCGGTAATCAAATCAAATCGTTGAGCGCAGTTCAGATAACACAGTCGGAAGCTGGGAGGAGCCGCCGAACATTTGATTGACGGTAGCGAAAAACGCATTCGTCGGTTGAGCTTTGAATTTTAGAGTCCGCATTTTATTGAGAGGCGCAGTAAGTGCTGTCCCTCTGCATCCTTTTGCATGCTTCTATTTACGGTAGCTTTCGGAGTGGCAGGGGCATGTTAAATTCTCGTTAATGTGAATCGAAAGTATTCCGAAGATTATTAAACTATTTAGCGTTTCTTCTTCAGTTTTTCGTTTCGCTTAGTAATATGTGACTTGAGGAGTGAAACAACTGTCATTATGTCATTAGTGTTTTAAAACCGATAGATCTAGTCGATATTTTGCTGCTGTATATATGTTTGTGCTTGACTAACTAATCAAAATGAGGCATTTCAACTGATGGAATTCTCAGCACTTCCTTGTGGCATAAGTTCGGGTTATTTTATTTGTAGTTATTGCATCAGCTTCTAAAGGACAGTTTCCCGTCATGGTGCCCGCAGTTTCAAAGTGTTTGTAGCCAATACATGTATTAAACAAGCATTGCTCTTCACTGAGCTTTTCTGAAAACCGTGGAATAACTTTGAAATTTAACTATCAGCTGTTTGTCAACCAAGTCAGTTTGCCAACAGAAACAAACAGTCAGCTAACAGATGTCCAAATCATTCAGTTCGTTAAGCGCTGTTTCATTTCCATGTAACAGTTAAAATAAGGTTTTATCGCTTGATTGCTAACGAGACGTCATGCCAACCAGCTAAATTGGCACAGGCTATCTGTGACAGAAGGGACGTCATTTAACAGTGCAAGACTCTTCTCGGTCAGATTTAAATCTTGCCATGGGGGGTTTTGGAACGTTGCCGTTTGAATTTTGTCATTTCATTTCCAGTGACTGAAGTTACTCTGTCCCTTTAGTTGCACTGTGTTAATACTGTAACAAAACATTGAGAAACAATAATTTTGTATGTACTTATTGACTGACTGGGACGGCAAAATGGTAAAATATTTGGCTTAAACCAAGAGCCAAACATTTTCCTGCCTGGTCCAATTCAACCTCACTCAGTCAATGATCATTTTATCATTTAATGACCACTTTGTTTTTTAATTTCATTTTTTTAAAACTTCTTCATTTGTGAGCAGTGTTGACTTTCATTCCCTTCTTTTAGAGTAAGTTGGGAAGTGAAGTTGTCCTACATCAGATTGTTTGCCAGGATAGTAAAATTCTCCTTTAGAATGTTCACTATCAACGCTTATTTTAAAGAAAATAAAATTTTGCAGCAGCAAAAATAACTGCCTCCCTCATTTACTTGGATCAATTTTAAGGGAACAAATGTACATGTAAATGTGCATTTCTAGCAGCTAGGGCTGTACCATTTTCATCTCAAACCATAGTAACATCAAAACCAAAACCAAACCATTACACTTGAAGCTCGATTGAAAACCGCTCTTTAAAGAGTGGTAAATCACTATAGCTGTTGGAACGGTTACAGTCACCTTTAGTTTAAACATAATCAGTGTGAAAAATATTCTGTTTCTTTCTAATTGACTCAAAATGGTTTCCAAAACGTTTATGTGATTTTGCAACATTAGAATTGCATTTAATTGCAAATAGGAGATTATTTTACAACCAGTGAAATTACATTGTATATGACAACATTTATTTGAAAGTGTTATATAGATGAGTTTTACACATGCTAATATTTTGATCATGTAGCATATCATATAACAAAGAACATTTTTCACATCTCAGACATCTGGTTGCTTTTTTCCTAGTTCAACCTGAATTCATCAGCAATTCAGAGAATTCAACAGTGATAGAGGGACAAAATATTGCTTTGCAATGTAAAGTTTATGGAATTCCTGCGCCAGATGTAAGATGGACAAAAGATGGAGAGGCAGTAAATATAGCAGATCAGAGGATAAGTGTTTCTTTTACGGGAAATACTTCAAGTTTGAAAATAATCAGTGTTGTCCAAGCAGATCAAGGACTGTACAGTTGTGTGGCAAATAACAGTTTAAATACTGTTACTTCCTATCCAGGAACACTGGCAGTACATTGTGAGTTCTTAATTGTGTTGTTTTTACTTGATACGCAATTGATTACCACATCTACTGGTACAGTCTGTACATATCATGTTTCTATCGACCAAGATGAAAGCCTGGTTAAATTTATATCACTTCTTTGCATATTTTAATGAGAACGTAAAAAAGTTAACAACACAAGAACAAAACCAACAATAGCATTGATAATGTTTTTTTTTTTTCTGCCAATGAGAATGAATAAAGAGTAGTTTTTGGAAGTTTATGTAAGTTGTAATTTTGACATATTTGCCTAGTTCCTGTCCGGCTTTCTCCATTTCTTCTTTCATTTGATTTCGGTCACGTATCCGAAACCACGCCCGACCACGTGACCGAAAACAATTGACTGCAGCGACATATTGAGGCTTAGGAACTTGGCAAATCCTACATGAGGGTTTGATGAGTCAGAAATGGTGTGGAATGAGTGAAATTTCTAGAACCAACAATTCAATGGATAAATACAGTGCAAAGCACTTTCCGTTAATTATACTTTTTTCAGTATGTACAATGTACGTGTGTAGATAAATTGGTCTGAGAGTTTACTTTTCCCGGAATGGTGGAACCACAACTTGATGGAAAATAAACTATGATCACAATTTTACAAGGTTGAAGGTGATGTGCTCTATTCAGTATCACCTTTCAGGGCTCGGCTTTGAGGGGAAAAAAACATACCTTGGGGCCAGCTTGATTTAGTCGCCAGCAAAAATCTTTCAGTGAAAAGCGTGAAAAGGTAGTCGCCAGTGGAATAAAATAAAAAACAAAAAAAAAGGGGCGCATAGGAGACACCACTGGTCGCAACGTCGAGTACTGCTTTTAGAATGGGTCTGAATTTTTTGAACAAACAAAGGAAACTGTTTGAAGAAAACATTTCAAAGTACATGCCCATAATCATGGTTCATGAGGTATTAATAATTTATGCAAATGTATTTATCTGTCCCATTTTCCCAGCTGGCCCAGCTAGGCCTTGAGATACAGTAGATCACCTAGCTCATTTCCATTCATTTAATATTTTACTTCATTTTACTGTTTTGTTGTGATTAAGTGCAAAAGTTTTGCAAAGAACTGAAGCAATTACAAAATTGAATTTGCAGTTGTGCCAGAAGTCAGGATTACTGGTGCTAAAGAACAGTTTGTTATTAAAGGAAGACAGATACTGCTGACTTGTCAGTGTAATGCTTTGCCACCAGTGTCTGAAGTGCAGTGGGAAAAAGGTGGAACAGTGATAGCAAGAAATACTATTGTGGAGATCAATGACTCACGAGTGGATATTCCATTTTTCAATGAAAGCCAAGTAAAGCTGTCCATTAATGCAACTACACCACAAGATGCTGGGAACTATACCTGTCTCGTTATTAATGATGTTGGTAATTCATCAGATACAACATCAGTTGTTATTCAAGGTCTGTTTTCCTGGTGTATTGTATTGACTTGGGTTTATACAATGTAACTTTAAGTAACTATCAACAAAGAAAAAGCATGCTTTAAATGGGGTGGTACTGAAATTACTGAAATGAGATTTTTGTATTCAGTTTTACTTTTGCATCCCTTGCTTTTATGGTTCTTTAAGAACCCTCATAATTTTTTTTTTTTTTTTTTTTTCAATTTGCCATCTGCCTTTCCCTATTTTTTTTTGTTTTACACCATTAATTTACATTCAGCAGCCTAATATACAGGTCTTAAACAAAGAGCGATCCTATATAACGAGGCTGAGGTGTTCAGCCTGCCAATCACAAATCCCAACGGACGACCAATGCTCCCATTTGATTGTCTTAGTCACTCAGGTCTAGTTTTAGCGCATTGCCACAAAATTCTGGAGAGCGACGGGTGTAATTTTCCGTTTTACTTTACAAGTAAGCAATGCCTTTTGAACTAAATGAACGATAGCTTCAAGAGAAGAGTTTACAAAGAAAATTGACTTTTTTGATTTCAACTTCATAATTTTGTTCGTCCACTTGCGAAAGCCTAACGTGTGAATTCGCGCTGTTCAGTCAAATTTGTAAAATGACGTGTTTTGTTCTTTTGATACCAGAGTGTCTTTGCTCCTTCGAGGATTAACGCGGTTGAGAAATAAGTTTGGAAACTAAAACTCGTAAAAGAAAATTCAGGTACAAGCGGACTGCGAAGTGTATATATTATTTCTACGGTAATATGGCTATTCTTCAGCCAGTTATCTAAAAGAAATTCCATTAGGTGAACATTGGCTGCTGTTGTACTCTTGCGGCTAAAATTCACTCTGCCTATAACGGACGCAACTTTTTGTTTTTATTGTATTCAGCCATAAACCTTCCTTCTCCTTTCTAACATCAATATTCAGGAAAAATCTCACTTTGCCATTTTTCAAGTTCTCTTGTTTCTTCGTAGTACTTTTGGTTTCCAATTTCTTTGCTCTAAATATAGAAGTTTGAGGAATAACTCAGGGTTGTTCAATTTGCATTTTGTTTGCGCCATCATAACGTTCATAAATCTGAGTTATTTTAAATATCCCACCAAAATCCGTCTGTGTGCACAGGCTAACCAAAATCACCTCTTAAGAGATTCGTTTCAGTTCTCGGCATGCTGAGACAAATAGAAACAGATACCTTGTTGATCGCAGGCATCAGCTTTGTTATTTCAGTTAGCGGCGAAATTTGAATATTCCGTGAAGTAACGAAGATAATTCATCGGTTTTGTTCTTCCAAAGGCATCCTCTGAAGTATTAATATAAGTTTTATTTTCACTGTTTTTTTTTTTATTATTTACCTTATATTATTCTACGTAAATGACTACGTTAGACGAAAAAAACGCCCTTAGTAGCGGAGCTCCTGCGCGTCCCTGATATATTGCGCACGTAATTTCTCCAATCTTGGCTGGGATTGTTGGGTATAAATTGTTAAAATTTAACCGGAAAAAATAGCAAAACCACACGCTGAACAATTACATGCTCACGAATGATCATTTTTTGAGTATCTGATCCAAGAAAAAATAATTCTCTCTTTCCTTTATCGTCAGTTATTGCAATCAGGAGCTCCGCTTTTAGGATTGGCTAAATCTATATATTAAAACTGAAAAAAAAAAAAAAAAAAAAATAGGGGATTAGGCTCTTCCTGATTCATGGTACTTCAATAATTTAGCCAAACACTTTTTTTCACTTGTACCCTGTATTCTTTGTCAGTCTGTAGTCACTGTTTGAGTAATGGGGGAGAACATTGATTGTACGAGAATTGTTGTTGAAGAGTGTATAATTATAAAGCTTAACTCTACCGTGAAACCAAACCCACCATTAATTTGTTCGCTCAATTTAATAGCCAGGAGGAATATAGCCCCTTTTGATAAGGTTTGTTCTGATTCATGGTGCTTCAATTAACCAAACACTATTTTTTTTTTTTCACTTGGTCGCTTACATGTACATGTAGTCTTTGTCAATCTATAGTTACCTGTTGAACTCTAATTGTTCATGGACTGTTGTTGAAAAGTGTTTATATTAATTAACTTTACAGTGGAACCAAACCCACCAGTGAATGTCGTAGTTGTCTCAAAGAGCTCACGAGTAGTGAATATGTCCTGGATTGCTGGTTTTGATGGGAACAGTGCAATTCAGAACTACACAGTAAAGACAAGTCTAGATAATGCAGACTTTGTAGATGCTGTCTGTCAAGAATACATGTCAGATGGTTCCTGTGTGGTGTCCAGTACAAGTGCATCTGTTGGAAACCTCTCACCTTGGACATTATATTACTTTAAAGTGCTTGCAAGAAACATGGTTGGCACTAGTGAAGGGAGCCCTGTAGTGAATGCTACCACAGATGAAGAAGGTGCTCTACACTAACATAAACAATGTAGTTGTTTCAACATTTACATACATGTAATCTGTAACATTTGAATTTATACAAATTGCTGCTTTCACTCTACATTACTCAGGCACATATTGCTAGATATTTTAATAACAAGGTGAATCAATTTGATTGTTTGCATGATCAAAATGTGACAGCCTTTTTGCAGCTGAAATAAAAAATATACACAAGAAAAGCTAATAAATGTGGTTGTTTATTTATCCATTCACCACTATTGTCCCCAGCAAAGTCGGGTGCATACATGTACAGCTGTTTGTGAAAAGGGTCACTGGCTTAGGAAAGTAAGAACAATGTCAACTTTATTATTACTTTCAGAAATTTTTTGCTTTTCGAACTTTTCAGTTCTTTCTTTGCTTGTTTCGTTGTTTGCTTGGGTTTGCTTCGTCGCTTCATTCTTTACTCTTTTGTTGCCACATTTTTGTGTGTAATGTTTATGCCAAGTTACTGTTCGCCTTTGAAAATCAAATTAACTTTCTACTCCAGAGCCTGGTGTTGCACCTGAAAGTGTGACAGGACAGAACAGCAGCTCAACCAGCATCTTAGTCATGTGGGATGAAGTTCCAACTGATCAACAGAATGGTATCATCACGGGTTACACCATTACTTACAAGTCACAAACAGAGAATGACAATGGAGGTGTTCAAGTAAATGCCTCTGTTCGCCAGACAGAATTGACAGATCTAAAAGAGTATGTCAACTACAATATCACAGTGTTTGCATCTACTGTGAAAGGAGAAGGACCAGCCAGTGATCCAATTGTTGTAAGAACAGACCAGGATAGTAAGTTATCTTTCTTATCAATTTTTCGTTTTCTTGATGTTTTGGTAATTTCTTAGTGCTTTGTATAGACTGATTGAAAAGCTTTAATCAGTAGAAGTGCGTCCTTTGAAAGCAACTATTTTTGTAGTTGAAGGCAAAGAACTCGTGATTTTGAAGTAATTGATCTCAAAATACTGAACACTTAAGTTGCCATTAGAGGTTGTAGAAGACGTTTTGTGACAATACGTGTTAGCCACGTGTAATGCAATTTCATCTTCTAGCAATATCCTTCTTACATGTACAAACCCGGCCCCTGGTCTGATATTGCAGAATATCATCTATTAACTAATTAATTAATTAACTAATTAATTAAATCATCAGCCCGTTATTGTTCTTAAGTGATAAATTGGTCAGTTATTTTAGTTAGTTAGAAGGTTGGATAGTTAGGTATTTGTTCTATTTCATTTAGTAAGTTATTTGCTGTTAGGCGCATTGAGTTGAGAAATGCGCCCTATAAAAATGTAGCTATAATTATTATTATTGGTGTTAATTGTCATTATCATTATCATTAACATTAACATCACTATCACTATCATTGTCATTATCATTATCATTATCATTATCATTATCATTATCATTATCATTATCATTATCATTGTCATTGTCATTGTCATTGTCATTATTATTATTGATTTTATAAAGTAAAAATTTCGCACAGTGTGACGTGTTACCTTGTACCTTGTTGGTACACAGATTAAATTAAAGGAGACTATGATAAGAGCATACAAAATGATTATGATCACCTCTAAAGAAGAAGATTGTTAATAACTGCCCTCACAACATTTACAAATAGTTATATGTACGAAAGCTCAACCAACCAATCATGCTAAGCTAACTTGTTTTGATCTTTTACATCAGAACCTGAAAGTGCTCCACAAAATGTAATGGGACAGGACCGCAACTCAACCAGCATCTTAGTCACGTGGGATGAAGTTCCAGCTGATCAACAGAATGGTATCATAACCGGTTACACCATTACTTACCAGTCACAAACAGAGAATGACAATGACAGTGTTCCAGCTGGTGCGGAAGATCGTGAAAAGGAATTGACCGGTCTAAAGGAGTTTGTCATCTACAATATCACAGTGTTTGCATCTACTGTGAAAGGAGATGGACCAGCCAGTGATCCCGTTATTGTTGTGAGAACAGGCCAGAATAGTAAGTAATTAATTTTTTCCTTTCAATTTACATTCGTTCCAATCTCTGGAAAGTAGCTTTTCATGCTCGAATGAGATGTAAATAGCTTTTCAAACTAGCTACGAGTGCACGTTCAGTGCTGTTGAAAGACGTGATAGCCTAATGCCTAGGAGAGTGACAGCTCGGATCGATCAGTATTGTTTTGAGCACTGGCCGTCCATTGTGTTGTGTTTATACACACAGCATTCTTCTCCTATGATGCTTGTTTTCACCCCTGAAATCTTGACAATTGATGAACTGTGAGGACAGTCTAAAATACGAGGGTATTACCTGCAATAGACTACCTGTCCATTTAGGGGGAGTATTTGTGTTACTTGTAGTTGCTCCATGCTATAAAAAACTCTTATTAAGCTCCGGCAATGTTGGTCATTTTGGCCTGAGTGCACACCTTCCCCTTTGAAGCTTGCAAGAGATGTTTGGTAAATTTCAGAAATTGTCACTTACATGTAGCAAGAAAATGACACAAGCCAGCTGCTCTCTCAAGCTTAAAGCATTTTAATTGTCGATCTATTCGCAAAGGGAAATTTCAGTAGTGCTAGTCTCCTTCACATGCACCTAACTCACCACTAATGTTACCTTTACCTCTCAGTTTTCTTACTGATGGCGTTGATGATATTTTAGTCCCAGATTATCCATTTTCTTCCGTTAGATAGGTAGACATTGTCTTGCATGATCCATGATTCATTCAGTTCCCTCAAGTGACGTCAGAAAGGCGTTAATAGCTATCGGTATTTGCTTTACTCAGATACTTAAGCCTAGTCACTTTCTTTGCAAATTAACTTAATTTGCAGAGAAAGTGACTAGTTGTAAGTATCTCTGTAAAGTAAATAACGATGGTTATCAAGGGTCATTAAGCCTTTAGTAAGCTTGTTCATACATTTTTTTTTCGTCAGAACCTGACGGTGCTCCGCAAAATGTGAGAGGACAGAACAGCAGTTCAACCAGCATCTTAGTCATGTGGGATGAAGTTCCAGCTGATAAACAGAATGGTATCATAACCGGTTACACCATTACTTACCACTCACAAACAGAGAATGACAATGGAAGTGTTTTGGTTGGTGCCAATGACCGTCAAAAGAATTTGACAGAACTAAAGGAGTACGTCAACTACAACATGGCAGTGTTTGCATCTACTGTAAAAGGAAATGGACCAGCCAATGACCCTGTAATTGTTGTTAGAACGGACCAGGACAGTAAGCAATTTTTTATTTGAATCCTTTTTTTGTGGGTGTTATTGTGGATTTTGTGGCTGCTTGGTTCTTGTCTGTTACTCACTTTGAAGCTGACCTCTCCTGTGTAGAATTGGCTTCTTTAACCGGTCAGAGGTTAAAAAACCTATCATTGATATCAAATTTGTGAAAGAAACGTTCTCAAAGAAAATAACCCATGAGATTTGCAAGTCGCACTGGGCAGAAATGTTTGTATTAAAATTTCATAAACGGTTTGCATAGTAAGAGATCATAATTTTATAGGTAAAGTATCTCCGGTTTTAGCAGCATCAAGAGACTAGAAGTATTTCTGCTTCTCCCTGGTTGAGATGTGAATCCATTGCAGGATTAGCCCCAGCATTAAATTTGCCGGTACTCATTTGTACACCTGGGTGGAGAGAGGCACTGTGAGAGTAAAGTGTCCTGCCCAAGAAAACGACACAATGACATTTAATGTCCTCGACCAGGGCTTGAACCCGGACTGCTCGATCTCGAGGCGAGCGCACTAACTATATATATAGGGTTACCATGCCTTCATACGAGACCATATACAGATTATTTTCAGATAAGATAAGACAAGAACTTTATTAACGTGTCGAATTCGCTAGCATACAATGTATATTAATTGGGGACACCTAACTACGATTACTTATCTTATACTACAGGCTGAGAAATTTCTGAAATGTGATTGGCTAAGACCAGTAGTATTTAAGCCAAATTTGAAATACTTACATGTAAAAATTACAGCCAGTTTCCATGGTAACTGAAAAATTATTGTTTCTAATTTTAAAACAATGGCGGATAGATTTCCCGATTGTGACGCGAAAGAACTACAAC